AACCCCCCTGCCATGGGCAGGGACACCTCACACTAAACCATATCACCCACGGCCTCATCCAACCTGGTCTTGAACACTGCCAGGGGTGGAGCATTTACAACCTCCCTGGGCAACCTATTCCAGTGCCTCACCACCCTAACAGGAAAGAATTTCCTCCTTAGTCTAAACTTCCCCTGTTGCCTTGTGGACCTTTCCCATGACTCTTACCCATGAACACTCAACCCTTTTATCACTATTGTCAAGCTTTAGACAGTAAATATACTCTCCAACATACAGGGCTACCCCATTGCCTCTCCTTCCTTGCTGATCCCTTCTGAAGAGTTTGTAGCCATCTGTTTCAACATTCCAGTTGTGTGAGTCATCTCACCATGTTTCTGTGATTGCAGTTGCATCATAGTTTTCCAGCTGCACGGTTGCTTCCAGCTCCTCCTCTGGCTTGTTGCTTATGCTCCCATGTTATTGGTGTAGATGCACTTCAGTTGGACTATTGAGCCTATCCCCTTTTTGGGGGAAAACTGTCACCAAAAGTTGGGAGAATAAAACTCCTTAACACCAACGTAGTATTAAGAAGCAGGCACTTCCTGATTGCAGCACTGGGTGCTAGGTGGAATTTCCACAAATCAGGCACACCGAGTGCCAATTTCATCATTACATTTATATGCAGAAGTTACAAGATAGTACACTCCCAGTTACAATGATCAGTTAGTGATTTACATACAGTTATAATACCTGCAGTGTCATTCTCTTTTGCTTGTGTGGGGGAAGGGTCTTCTCGATTTGTGAGTGTGTCTTATAATGAAGGCAGTTTACTGCAGGTCACATTAAAAGTAGGTTTTGTTGCCAAGTTGGCTGGCTAGATTTCTACCTTGCCAGGTTGTCAGGTAACTCATCCTATATACAGTAGACCCTATGTGCTTTGGTTATGCTCTAGAGAGTAAGGACTAAGGCTGGCATTTCACAGGGAACAGGGAGTTCAAGCAACACAGCTTCTAATTTCAAGTAACCCAGCAACCTGTGCTAACATAGAGGCTAACTTCTTAAATCAAGATGCTCCTATAGATAACTTTCACAATCTGTCATGGTTCAAGCCCAGCCTGTAACTCAGAACCATGCAGCCACTTGCTCACTTCCCCCACTTCTTCCTCCCCCTGTTCCCAGAGGGATGCAGAGGAGAATCAAAAGAATCTTAACTCCCATGGGTTGAGATAAGAACAGTCCAGTAATTAAGGTATAACACAAACCACTACTGCTAACACCAGTAATAATAATGATAAGGGAAATAACAAGGGAAGAGAATACAACCGCTCACCACCCGCTGACCCATACCCAGCCCGACCTGAGAAGCGACTACCCCTTCTGGGTAACTACCCTCAGTTTATATACTGGGCATGACGTGCTGTGGTATGGAATACCTCTTTGGCTAGTTTGGGTCAGGTGTCCTGTCTCTGCTTCCTCCCGACTTCCCCTCCTCCCTGGCAGAGCACGAGACTCAGAAAGAACTTGGTCAGAGTAAACATTACTGAGCAACAACTAAAAACATTGGTGTTATCAGGGTTGTTCCCAGGCTGAAAGTCAAAACCACAGCCCTGCACCAGCTACTAAGAAGGAGAAAAATGACTGCTACTGCTGAACCCAGGACACAATCAAACACAAAATATAGACATACTCAGTAAAACTAAAGATAATCTGCAACAGAGCCCCTAATTCCCATATGACCATTCTTAGATGCTTCCATGGTTTCTACCGTATGAATAACGCTTTGCTGCTGCATGGATCTACATCCCCTAATTCCACTGAGATGGCAGACTGAAGGACCTTGTCAGCACACCCTTAATCAAATGTTGACATGCTGCCCTCTGCTTACCTCTAGGAAGCTTGGTTTTATCCCTTTCTCCCTTCAGATCCACAGGCAGAGCTCCATGCACACTAGCTGCTGTTTTACATAAAGGCCAACGCTAGCTCCTTGTCTTCCTTGCCTGTCTTTTCTTGAGACCTTGTATCCCTCCATTGCAACTGTACAGTCATTAAAGTTAACCCATCATGTCTTCATGATACTGACAAGATCATAGGCTTTCAACTGCACACAGATCTCTAGCTCATCATGTTTATTCCCCAGGGTATGTTCATTAGTGTTCTTCTGAGAGACAGAGATTCCCAGAAGGGGTTTGGGTGACTTCTCTGTAATTGTGTCTTTTTGGCACTTCCTTGCTTAAATGCGAATGATAGATGTGACCCTGAATAAGCCCCGTTTTGTTAATTTATTTTTTTTTTATTACTATTATTATTTTTTTAATCCTTTGATGTCACATGACACCTGTCTATCACTTTGTCAAAGGGCTGCTGATAATTCTCTTCTCCCTTTATTTCTAGCTAAAAGCTCTTCTGAACAGGTGAACCATCTTGGCCTTATAACTTTGCCCCACTTAGTGAGTTGGATCCCATCTCTCATAAGAAGACACTGGTGTATGGTCATAGAACTTGTTGCCAACACCAGCTCCAAGGCCAATTATTGACCTATGCTATCAATGTCTGCGTCTCATACCCCTGCCCCTCACTGGTGGGATGGAAGAGGACAGCACTTAGGCTTCCATGACCTTGATCACTATCCCCAGAGCTCTGTAGTCACTTTCAATGCAGTCTGGGTTGCCCCTGGAGGCATCATTGGAAGTACAACAAGGGGTAGTAGTCAGTGAGTTGGACAAACTTTGATAATTCCTTTACAATATCCTGGATCCGGGCACCTGGCAGGCAGAAAACCTCTCTAGATGATGGCTTAGGTCATTGAGCCAGTCATTTCAGACAACTCTTGATAAAGATTCCAAGATTTTTCCTGAATTGCAGTTTCCAGCTCTTGAACTCATAAGCATTGGAGCATGGTTTGAGGTAACTGTAAGGTAATAGGTGTTTGAGAAAAAATTATATGTTATGGACTGTAAAAATTAATATCTTGCAGACTGGAGAAAGTTGCTTGTGAAATTCAGGCTCTCTCCAGAAGAAAAACTCATAGGTAATTCCATGAATTGTTGCTTCTTAAACAGATGTTTTAATGGTTGAAATGTCAAAAGAGTTTATCAGTCTTAAGGTCAATCATTGATAGCTGCCAAATTTACAGAGTATGCACTTCATTTTCTTCAGAAGGTTGCATTTCACAGAAAAAAATACAGTTCCTCAAAATAAAATTTTAGAAAAGCAAGAAAATATGGTATTAGGCTGATTTCAGTGTAACTCTTGCTTTGTCCCTTCAAGCTGGGCATACTGAATGCATGTATCTTCAAGTATTTGTATTTTCTATTCAACATTATTGTCCAAAGATGGAAGCAATCGTGGTGAAGAAGTGCTGCGATAAGATCTTGTGCAGGCCATAGGTGTCTACTGTATGGACATTGTAGGCCCAGCTGAGGCTGTACTGTTTCTTGGGTTACAGGGCTTGCGTTCCCGTGTAACATGACTGAATCCTCTTTCTGTCTTTAAGATGAAGGCCTCTTGTGGGTTGATCTTGCTTGGTTGTGAGATGCCAACCCAGCCAGGGTCAACCCACTGTGGTCCTTTATGGCATCTCACCTTGGGCTTGGGGAAGGAGATCAGGACAGTAATTGAGAGTGGTAGTGGGCAAAACATGGAGTGGACTTTGTCAGAGTTAAATAATGTGGGGATTCTTTTGTTGTTGAAATGAGGTGAAGGGAGAAGAGTTGGAGTTATATCGTTACTGTAAAATTTCCACTTTTTCAGTGTTAACATAATTTTTATTTTGGTGTGGATTTTTTTATTTTTTTATTTTTTTATTTGTGGATGTAAGTGGAGTGATGGACAGATCACAACCCCTGTACCCCTGCACTGTTTGGGTAAGGATACATAGAGAAGTTGGGAACAAAGGAGTGAAGTTGAACTGGCCTAGCAAAGGGGTGGGGAAAAGGTGTTCTAGTTTTGTCTTTGTTACTTCTTGAGCCATATATTTGTTTCAGGTGTCTGTATTTTTCTGAAGTTTGCTAGCAAGACAGAAGCCAGATTACTGCTAGAAGATTTTAACTCTTGTGGTGTTCATGTAGTAAATGACTCCTATAGGCTATTTCTGTGAAGGTGAAATGTGTGTTGAAGGTTTGTCAGGTGTGCAGTTGTATTCTGACATGGGTTTAGAACTAAACTGAAGTTTAGTTTAAGTAAGTTCTTCAAACTGTAGTGCCAGTAAAAGGCTTGTCCAGGTAATAGTTCATGTTCATAAAGTTTGCCTTCTTTCCTAAAAGCAGACCAGACCATTACAAAAAAAAGAACAAAAAAAAAAAAAAGGAAAAAAAAAAGAAAAAAGAGAAAGAAAAGTGGGTATATAAACTTTGATCTGAACTCACATGAGAAGGTTGTCTTTGCAGCTATCTGGTGATATCTAAATTTCATAAGAACTTGTTAAAGTAACTGTAAAGTTACATCTGGCCTTCTTACTTGCATTGACAAGTGAAATATGTCCTCATTGTATAATTAGTGTGCTGGTTCAAGAGTAAATATATAAGGAGCTTTGTTATATTAATTGACTGTAGTTCTGAACATTTCTTTCAGTTTCCTTTTGTGAATTTGTCTTTTGCCTCTATCTCTCTCATGTTATCTCTTCTTACTGCTTGCTTACCTTGTCCTTTTCATTCTCACTCCCATATTTAGTGTACTGTGCTATTCTGTATAATTCTCTCCCTACCCTCCTGCCCTAGTGCCATTGTGAGTTGTCATAATTTTTGTGACTTAAAGCTTTTATTCCTACCATTTATCTAATCCATTTAGTATCCTAAGAACAGGGCCTTCCAAATGCTCCTCTTCCTGCTAGCTGTGTCTTGAGTGTCATAGTTGTGACTTGAAATGTGCTCTCATTCAACAGTTTTCTATTCATTTGACACTTTTCCCTGTGCAATGAACAAGCTGATCCATTTTTAGTGAAAGCAGCTTTAGTTTGTAACAGCAGAACTGTTTTTGTGAATTTGTGTTTAACATTCTTTTCACTCTTTTTTAATTTTTGTTAGATGTTGGATGTCTATGACATCCTTCCTTTTGATAATCCAGATGGCGGTGTGTGGAAACAAGGATTTGATATCGCATACAATGAAAATGAGTGGGACAGTGAACCACTTCAGGTTTTTGTTGTGCCTCACTCACATAATGACCCAGGTAATATTTTAACTGTACTGATTTGGGTATCTGGAGGCTTTTGAATTAAAAATATGTTGCCATTTTTTGTTAAGATTTTATGTTTTTTCTAAGTATGCTATGTAATATGTTAGATTTAAGTCTAGCAAGGCAGTTAAGTAGATTATAATTAAAGTGCTATTGACTTCAAGTGACAACTGCTACGATAAAAGTTGTACACGTACTTATTTATTAACCGGAGTAGGACTTCTGTATTGATATTGGAAGCTAGTACGGATTTTCATTGTTCATCCTGCTGGTAACCCAACATGCTACATTAAATATGGTCTGTTCATAGTTTAACTTTTTGGACTCTCATTGATATTTAACCCTCAGCCTGTGCTAAAGAGATGTGCTTTTTGGAAGATGTGAGGGTTTTGGCTGAAATTCTTTCTTTACTGTTTTGTTCATGCCCCCAACATACAGTGAGATAATACGAAGTCTGGATTTAAACTGAAACCTAGGTTTGCTTACATAATTTGCTTTTTTCCTCCCAAGTGGTGGTTTACTGTGTAATAAATAAAATGGAGAAGTGTCACTTTATTTTGAAATGACTGTAAAATATACCAAAAAGCAGTGAATCATGCTACTATAGTATACTCCTTCATAGTACACTGACCAGGAGAGGGTAGTGAAGCTGCTTGTTACGGTGGAAAGCCACAATTTGAGTGACTTTAAAATTTACTGCTGTGTATCTCACTAACAATTTAATTTTCTTTGAAGTACTGTGGCTCTGAGTGAAGTAAGATGCAGTCGTTTGAACATAAGTGACTTATTCCATTTATCTAAAGTCTTTGAAGAAAATGATCTCTGTAATGTGAATTGAGTATATTGTCCAGTTGTGACAGCTAAAGCAACAAAATATGAACATAGTAATAATACTTGGGGGAAAAAATCAGACTACAAACTTTGATCTGCCTTTTTTTAGAAGTGTCTTTAAACCTGTCCATTTATTTACCCTCTGGTTGTTCTTCTGAAAACTTTCCTAGAAATATGTACTCTACAGTCATTTTATTAATCTGAAAACATCCTAAAGGATGTATAGAACTTACAGTTCTCTTGGTTCTTACTAGAAAAAGGTGTGGACTTTACCTCTCTCCCTTCTTTCTGCTGACATCCTCTCTATAACATTTTTCCATCACTTTGGGTTCTTGGTCAGTGCTTAAAAAAAATACAGCCAAACGACAAAAATCCCACCCTAAACTCCCTAAACAAATACAACCCCCAAACAAACAAATTAAATACCCAAACACCCCCAACCACAAAAGAAGGAAAAAATAGCAGCCCCAAATGAAAAAAAAAATACCCCCCAAAAAATCTTTCCCCCCTGAAAAAAAAACAAAAATGGCCAAACCCCGCCACCCTACCACCCCCTCCAACAAAAGTTCTGAGTCACCAGAATTATTAAACTCCTAAGACAAATGAAGCATAGATATTGCTTTACAACAACAGGTAACCTCACCAACCTTTTCCCATTAAGTCTGTGTTATGGAATTTCCTGTACTTTCCCAGTAGGAAAGTACTTGCCCAGGAAGTGTGTTTGCAATGTGTCTGTCTATTGCTTAATTTTACATCTGAATGATATCTGTTGGTTCACTTGATTCTATTTTGCCCTTTCCAGGACTGTTCTGGGTCTTTTCCAAGCATAGGGTTGTGACCCATAATGAACTTAGCTTCAGAGGTGGATTTTTACTAGTACTGAGGTATCTATCTTGAGGGGGTGTCAGTCATTTAATCTATAGTAAGGTGCTTGTTCTTCCAGTTTGCTGAAAGAATGCTCTGTAGCTGCACCTTCAATACTAAGATTTGAAGAAATCTGAAGTTACAAGAGCTGTCTCATCTTTCTGTTCCAAGTTTTTCCCTGCTTATTTCCAAGAGCTTGCCCAAAGTATTAATGGTGGTGTTACTTCACCTTTGACAGCTGAATTTCTTACTGATGTCTAGTTTTGGTTCCTAAAGTGTTCCTCCTTAATATCTGCTTCATGTCTTTACTATAAAATTAGATCTGTCCTTCCACGAGCAGCAGTAACATAAGAAATCTGCATATCCTCGTGTACAGTCTGCATATCTTCAAGCTTGTTTAGACTTTTCAGTTGATATCAAGTAGAGTTCAACTGAGATACAATCCTGGTAAATGTAAACTGTTCCATCTCCAAAGATGCTGTGTGAGGCTGGTTATTAGTTGGTGTTACAAAAAGTGTTATTGTAGAAATCTCCTGACTTGATACTGCTTTGATAAGGAAGAAGACAGGCTAAGACTGTTGAAAGATACTTAAATTTCTTATTTTCTTAGGTTGGCTGAAGACTTTTGATGATTACTTCAGAGATCAGACACAGCATATCTTAAATAATATGGTTATAAAACTGCAAGAAGACAACCGAAGGAAATTTATGTGGTCTGAGATTTCTTACTTTTCAAAATGGTGGGAAGGAATAGATAGCCAAAAAAGGGATGCTGTTAAAAGGTTTGAATACTGAACTATTTATTATCTTCCGTGTGGCATGTGCTGAGACACTATAGAGGTTTCACTAGTTGTGATGCGGAATTGCTAGGACAGTTCACTACTCAAATTCTGATTTTTTGGGTTCACTTTTTTTCCAGTTACAAAATGAAATGCCATTTAGAGAAGTGAAGCCAAATTCCTGAGTTGCTGGAAAAAAAAATTACTAAAGAGTTTCCATGTACAACTGTGAAGATGTCATTCAAATATTCAAATTGTAATGGAATTGTGATTATAAACTTTATTTGAACTCATGTTTAAGTGTTGGTAATGGAGTAAAATAGTCTTTCATATTTAATATTTCCATTTGGTATTTTTTTTCTTCAGTTATGATACAATTATGAGATTTTTGTTTTTAAATATGTGTATTTTTTATAAGCTTGCCACTGCTTAAATTGTGAACCAGTACTTATTCTGCACCCTTGCTTGTAGTTGTTTCTAAAATCACAAGTGAAAATATAATACAGAAGTAAAAGTCTTGCTTAGACGTTGAGGCAAGAAAGCGTGCTGGTTGGTGAAACTTGAAGTAAGGGTCTAGTTTGAGGTTTTCAAAAAGCTGGCGGAATTTTTTTTTTTTTCTGGGGGTGGTGGTACTTCTGTGATTGTGATGTCCTTCTTTTCGTGCTCCTCGTTAAGATGCATAGGTTGTAGTGTACATTCTGACTGTGAGAGCCTAATGGCTGCAAAGGTTAGGTAATGCTGGAAATCTCAGGCATGACATAGAAAACTATCGGTTTAAAAATGTACGTACAATGCATGAGTGTTATAGCACAGCTGTTGTTTTTTTGAGACTAAAAAGATCTCTTGGAACGCAACAAACAGTAAATGATAGTCACTAGGGTGCTGCATGCTTTCTTCAGAGGAAACAGGTGGTGGTTAAACTGCTGTAAGACGAGTGAAGCTGCACTAGAGATTATTTTTGCTGTATGTTGTTCATTACTCTCATGGGTATTATCTGTAATGTGACTAAACTTTGATAAGTTTACTGTATTTCTTTCTTGAATTCATGAAACATTTGTATGCTAATGTATAAGTGTTGGAATTACGTATTTAATTGTAGGGACGACCTGATGCTGGAAGCATTACGTTCACTGGCATGTTACTAGAGAACCTGGATTATCCTGTTGTCTTTTTTAAGAAGGCATTTTAATGAGTGAGATGCTACAAAGGCTGTATAGATACAATAAACTTCAAAGCTCTGTCGGCTCACTAAAACAATAAAAATTGTAGATCAGAGATAGGAGATATTAGTAGTGCTTGAAGCGTGCAGTGTCTAGTCACCTTGCTCAGATGGCCTTCAGTACTGTGGCAGATACACTCATTTTTGTAATCTGTGCAGGAAATAGCTTTCTTTCTCATTAAAAAAAAATAAATATTATGGCACATGCAGTAGAGCTTGTAGTTTGCGTTGCATAGAGGTATTAAAAATTTCGCTGTTCATCTCTTCAGTCTTTCCCTGTTTGATTAAAGAAATGTAGTCCAGTGATGAAACTAGCACAAGTGATTGAGATTTTGGTACTGTGTCTCTGAAAATTGCCTATTGGGTATTCAGAAATAGATTTTTAGGAGTATTTTTCATATGCAAGATTCTGAACACAGTTTATGTGTATTTTAGGTTACTAAAAGATGGACAGTTTGAAATAGTAACAGGAGGATGGGTCATGCCTGATGAAGCCTCTCCTCATTATTTTGCTTTAATTGACCAGCTGATAGAAGGACATCAATGGCTAGAAAAGAACCTCGGTATGTAACTTGATGTAGAATTTAACTGTGTTAATACAGGAAGTCAATTAGGAAATGTTTTTTTTTTTTTGTATTTCTGAGGTGCTTAGAAGGCTCTTTCTACTCTGCTTTCCTGAAACATTAAATCAAACTGCTTACTGGAAGCTATAGAATTGAGTCTAGTATTTGCAGTTACTGTTTGCAGATAGTTCCTCAATGAAGCATATTTAAACAATTTTATGTTGTAATATTTTGTCTTGGTCAATGAAAGATGTGCATAATAGCATAATAATATGTAACAGTTACCAGTTGCCATTTCTGTCTTTTGAATATCATGAAAAAGCCTTAAAATGACTTAAAAATTTTTATTCCCTTAATGTGTTTACATCTGTTCTGCAGAGCTTCATTAGGTTTTCTTACATAAGGCTTTCAAAAAAAACCTCAAACCCATTATAATGTTACTATATTTCAAAATAAGGCAGACTCATTCACTTTTGAAACTTTGAGGACTTAGTGACTGCAGTAACGTTGGCTGAACCGTTTTGGTAGCTTTGGGAGGGTGTTTTTTTGTTTGGTTGGTTGTAGAGATAATGTTCCATAAGTAGAGATAATCCATTTACATAGAAAATATTTGTACAGTGATTTTAATGTTAACATCACTTCATCTAGTTATCTGAAATTATTTTGAAAAGCTGTTCCATTAGGTTTTCCGTAAGTTGCAATTCCCATAAGCAGAGATCATCACAATTAAGAAATGGGTGAAGGGAAGGCCTAATAAAAGGGTAGTGCATTCACTACTGGGTTTTGGATGGTTTTTGTTTGTTTGTTTGTTTGTTTTGTTGTTTTTTGTAGGACAGTAAAAGTGTGTTTTGAGAACTGTGTTGAATAATCAGTTAAACATGAGTTGATCGTCTTATTTGGTAGTATGAAGTTCAGTAAAAATATTGTATTAGTCAACATGATTCTAATGACTGTCAACCAAATAAATAAGAAAAGGCAGTTCTAAAGCTGACAAAGGTTAACATTATTTAAATTACAGTGAAAATTCAACATCATCAATCCATCTCTATGCATTAATTTTCGTTCAACTTTCTTTCGCAACTGTAACATGTAAACTCCTGAAAGTAAAAAAATTCAATGTTTCATTACCATTCCATGTAAAGATGTTTGAGACACAGTTGAAATTTGGAACAATGCAGAGTGCTAATCTCAGGCTTTTTATGTAGTTACGCAGAATGCCTTTCCTTGAAGACATTTGATTTTTTTTCTAGTTATTAATTGTTCATTGTTTATTCCTAGCTTGTTGATTACAAGCTTGTTGATTACAATGATGTGTTCTGCAGGAGGCAATACTTACCTGTATATTTTATCTTCTTGGAAATTTTATTTTTAGTGCTCTTGATACAGCTTTCTTTGAATGAAAACTAAAACTTTATTCCCTTTTTACTTTTGTCAACAGGAGTAAAACCAAAGTCTGGTTGGGCAATTGATCCTTTTGGGCATTCACCAACTATGGCCTACCTTCTGAAACGCACAGGATTTTCCAATATGCTTATACAGAGAGTTCATTACTCAGTTAAAAAATATTTTGCAACACAGAAGACGCTAGAATTTTTTTGGAGACAGAACTGGGGTATGTTTTTGTTCTTTATGTCAATTTATTTTGCTATTTTACACAGGTAAAATACAGAGAGAACTTGAATAAATATATGGAAATCTTTGAAACCTTTACAGAACAGTTTATTTAGAGAAGTTAGTCTAGACTTGAAAAATTTCGATTTGCAGTTTTGGTAAAAAATGTCCTGTAGGTTAACTTTTGGGGATTTTTTTTGTTTTTTTTTTTAATAGCAGGGAATGTGAGTACCTGTGTGTTAGGAATGAGGTTAAATATAAAAACTGTATTATTGCCATTATTCCTCTGATCTTCCTGTCTCTTCACTTTCATTTGTGCTTTTCTCTTTAACTTGCTTCTCCCACATTTTTTGCAAGTATATAGGAAAAAGTGAATGAGGTGGGATATTCTTGTGCCTTTTCTCACTTCTTTGTTTTAATCCTCCTATTATGTGGAAGTAAAGTGGAGGAGAAGGGACATTTCTGTTGGAGAGAGGAAAAAAAAAACCTAAAAGTGAATATTTGGAGATCAAGAGATCTGTGTTATGTTCTTACTAAGAAAAAAAAAACATCCAGGCAACCAGTTCTCTTCAGCTGGTGTGATCAATAACTTCCAGTATGGACAGTAGGTTTTTATGGACTTGAAATTTGTAGGTTATCTTTAGTCAGAAAAATAGATAAAAAGACATTCCACCATTTTAATTTGCAGTGAAATTTTAATCTAAAACCTTATTCTTAGAATAAATACAATTTCCTTTTTACTTTTATTTATGCAATATCAAGTTTTTTTAGGTAATGTAGTGATTATACCATAGTAAACTGATGTGTCTGTAAATGAATATACTTTTCAATATGAACAGTTTGATTTTCTTTGTACTGCGCTAACATTCCAAAAAGGTGTATGATGAATGTGTGTAGTTGAGGTTTTAGTGTTTCTGTTTTTTACAAGTAAGATAATATGTCACTGGGTTGAACAAATGTATTTAGTACTTCCTCTTGAAATGTGATGGTGATTTTGAAGCTTTTCCTCTGTGTTCTTAATTAGAAGTTGTTGGAAGAAGGATATTCAGAGAAAGCAATCTGCTGTACAAGTAAACTTGAGGAGAGCATGCCACTGTGAAAGAATTTCCCAGATACTGACAAAGAGATTTTTCTCTGAACATTGGTGTATGCCACTCAGTGCACACAGTAGTTATTATACACTGTTTAGTTGCATAAGTAAATCACATGTGATTTGGTCCTGTGTTTATGCTTCACAAAAAGGCTTTTCAAAATGGATCAAAGATTACTGCATATGCGTCTGGCATAATACGTAAACATAGTACCTGAGATAGAGAACTCCTGTAGTTGAAAAGTAAATGCGTGTATTTATGGAATATTACCTTTGTAGTAATACGTAGTAGTAAGATAGGAGTTTTAAAACAAGCCTTGTATTGGAACTGTAAAGACGCTGTTAAGATTTTGGGGAGTATTTTCATATATTGACATAGGAGCTGGGTTCCGTGGCACATCCTACAACATTCATCAGATTTTTCAGCATAAAATTAAGTAATTAATGCTGAAAATAGGTAATCAGCATTTAGGGGTTTTACCAGATGAGTGAACTTCAGGTTCTCTTTAGTTCTATGAGAAGGTTCTCTTTAAAGTTAAATTTTGAAAGACCTTTTGAGACTTGACAAAATGTGTGTAGAGCTCTGCTTCTTGTGGGTTAAACTTTACGGCATGGTCTGACTGGATGGAAAAGTTAGGATTGCAAAGATGGTCTCAGAAGTGTATAGAACTCTATGTAATTCTGTGCGCAAGCTAATCTACAATAACATAGAATCATACTTTAAAAGTTATGTGCTCAAGAAATTAAGATATTGCTAAACCAAACTAATTTAAATGTGCTAATGAGGTAATGACAGCAGGTTGATTTATTTTTGATTCAGGCTTTGTTTTTTGTTTGTTACGTCTTTTTTTTTTTTAATTGGTTTTGATGCACCCCAAGTTTTGTTCAGCTCTAAAATTCTGGAAATAAGGAGATTTATCTAAGTAATAAAAAAAAAACCCCAAGCCAAACCATGTAACATTTTGTTCCTATCTTCCACAACCAGCTAGTGCTTGATTAGAACATTACAGTCTTGGTTGTATCTATGTTTTTTAGCTTCTCTATATGTAAGGTACATACAAAGGTAGACTCCATCTATGGATATTCAAAGCAAAAAATTGTCTTTGCTTTTTCAATACAATTCTTGGATTAAGAACTGATTAAGATGGAACTGATAAAGTTCTGGCAAATCTGAGAGGGTTTATTTTAACAGTGTGATCTATGTATTTCATTCCAGATTTAGGATCAAGTACAGATATCCTTTGTCATATGATGCCTTTCTATAGCTATGATGTTCCTCATACTTGTGGTCCAGATCCGAAACTCTGCTGCCAGTTTGATTTCAAACGTCTTCCTGGAGGAAGAGTAAGCTGCCCATGGAGAGTTCCGCCAGAAGCCATTCATGCTGGAAATGTTCAACACAGGTAAAATTTTTACATGTTCTGCGAAAGAATGCCTTAAAAAAAAAAATCTTACTGATCAAAGATGGTATCTAGAATAGCTTGGTAAACATACACAGTTTTTAAAATAAACTTGTTGGAAAGTAATACTACTTCATCTAGTGTTTACTCATAAATTCAGAACATGACTGACAGTGAAATTTGAAGGTAGGTTATAAATTCAAGTTTACACTTTTACAAAACTACTTTTCCAGTTTGGGAGGAGGGAAAAAGGAAAAAAAAAATAATAAAGATAGAACTGTAAAGAGAACTGTAAAGGCTTTTTCCCAGAAAAAAGATTTTATTCTGTAGTCCTATTACTGTCTTAACACCTTCAAACCATCCACAAGTTCAAGAATTAGAAATTTAGGTAGGTGTTAACAATTGTTACAACTTGCTGTGTATAACAAATATATTAAGGGTAGCAGGGTGACTTTTTGCTTCTAGTCTTGATGCTGAAGTTTTGAAGTGGTGATATAACAATGATTCATGGGTTGCTACATGTTAAGTGCATGTCCTTTTTTCTGAATATGAATTTTGCCAAGCATCTGGAAAACTTCACTTTGTCAGTAAAATTCAATTACAAATTTTATTAAAGGTAAAACCTAAATAAATAGAATCCATCACAATTATCATATTTTAAGGTAGACATTTGGAATGATTATAGGAAAAGTAATCTTCTTTGAAAGTGTAAGAATGAAGGTGACAGGAGAGCGGTAGAGCTGATAGAAGAATTATTATGACGCACCCAGTGCTTGTCAAATGTGAAGGAAAGCTCTTGCGTTCAAATCAAAGTTGTAAAAAGGAAGATCTTATATGTGTATCCCAATTAGCTGAGACAAATATTTGTAGAACAGTAACAGCTCGTTTAACAAATATCTGGAACATAAAGGCTACAAAGATAATGTAGAGAGCCTGCTCAGAATGCTTTTTGATGTTTTGGTTTTTAATTAGATCATAATTTATCCCTTCCCTTGGAAGTGATAAATCCCCTTGCACTCTCAAGATGCTTGCACTTCCAAGATGCAACCTTTGTGTAACGATCTAAATTAGACTTCGTAAAAAAAAAAACCGGTTCTTTCACTGTGTCATACACCATTCACAGAATAAGAGAAATGGGGTAATTATGTAGTGAATATATGATAAAGTTGAAGAGATCATCTTCTCGATCTGGTCTCTGAAACTTAATTCTTTTGCATGAACATTAGGTAGATAAAAATAATTTTGGTGTCTAACAGATGAAACAGCAGTATGTTTCAGATGCAGATGATACATAGGGGAGAAGTACAACTTACGCATAGTCTTTGAGGTAGGAGCCTGGATTACCTACATTTGGAACACTGGAAGGAGCACAGGAGCTGTACTTCGAGAGTGTAGTTTAAAATAAGTCCACTAAAACATAGGAATTAGTGTTTTGCTGGAAAATGCTAAAAACGCTGCTCATCTTTTACAAAAAGTTGGGATATTATAGATAATGAAAAACTCTGATCTGACCTTCGTAACATCGCAGGTTTTACACTTCTTATGATGAGATGTATGAGATTCAGAAGAAAACCTCTCTTTACACTGTAAGCTTTCCAAGGTTAAAAGTTGTTAGCACAATTAATCTCTCTTCTCTTTGAGTGCTTTGGTTTTTAAGACTGGAAAAATATAGATCTACACTAAATGGATTTGAAAAAAAACATTAAATACGAGCAATTTAGAGGCAAGGTTTAGATCACTAACCTTTCTTCAGTGCAAAAGCTGCAACAGAATAATTGAAAGACAGATCCTGAATACTCAGCTGGGACTGTTGCTTTTGATTTCAATACTGTTATGGCCATATATATAAATATCTTGAAACGAGATTGAATTAAAAATTTAAGACTAGTAGCTGTTGGATTTGTCATTGCCTTACCACTTTGGTTGTGAATGGCAGGAAGGAATGGAACAGCAGCTTAGCTTCTAAATACCGCTGTTGCACTTGCCTTGGTTTGTAGCTGCATCCTTATCCGTATGTTTGAATGCTGAAGTTCTGGCTTTTTGCACTAGCAACAAAAAAACTATTTTTTTCCTTGAGTGGGAATGAGTTGTTTTGTTAGAGGAAGCACAGCTTCTTTTGGTATACGTTTCTCTTTCCCATTCATGGAAATAGGAAACAATCTGTACTACAAGAGATGCGCTCAGAGAAGGAGCAGAAAAGACACTTTCCTGTTCACCCTTTACTGGTCAGGAGCCCAGTTGCACCCTTCAGCTTTTTTCTCTTTATGGTTGTCACATTGCACAACATGCAACTGATTGCTGCATTCAGATTGCTGATGTGGTATTGGTTAATTTTTGTGATTACAAATGTCAAGAATACATGATCACCCACCTAGGAAGGTCTGCATATCCACCTACTCCTTAAAATCATCTGAATAGGAAATTGCTAATCCACCAAAAGGTTTTGTTTTCTGGTTTTAATAATCAAGCAAAGAGTGAGTCCCTAATGCTTCATGTGCTGTATAGGCTAAAGTAGTGGGGCTGTACCTCTCATGACCACTGTCATTTTGCTGCTGCAAAATTTCTTGCGATTCCCACAGTTTGGGATGCTACTGCTCCTCCTCCTTTTATATAGGGAGGGGCAAAACCACCCACATTAATTTTAATATGTTTTAGCCAAATACGTGGACTTTTTGTGTTTAAAAAAACACACTTGTGGTATGAAGGGGTTTTCTTCATTTGCAAAAGGTCTTAAGAATTCAGTGATAATCTGAAAGCTTCCCAAAGAAAGGTGAAGAATTTTCTTGATGCTGTTACTGACAGCGTTGATATACTTTAGTGCTGCTAACCAGGATTGCAGTTAGGGTTGCTCTGAATATTCAGAACTACATAATGCATCTTCTTTACAATTTCAGGAACTTCTGATTGCATAAACCCCCAGATTTGGTGTTTGGGGTATTGTTTGTTTGTTTGTTTTCTGCTAGCTCTTTCTCATTGCTGTGAGAAATAGTGATTTAGGAAGCTATGTGAGAGAAGGGAATATGCCTGACTTGAGACATCTAATTTTTCTTCAGCGTTTTTGCAATTCAGAACTAGCTTGCAATGCAGGAAGATCCTGCTGCCCTCTACAAAATGTATAATAATCCTACAGTTATGTGCACTTTGAAGAAGGGGGGGACCACACTGATGAGTTTCGCAGTAGGTTTGCAAAGAAACTAGAGGACTTTGAAGAGAGATGTCAAAGTTAAATATTCTGTTAACTGTAACCTTTCCTGAAGTCCTGTATTTTTCAGGGGGCTCTAAAATAAAGTATGTTTCCAACCATAGGCTGTCTGTGGAAAACTGAAGTAAGGCTGGCTTCTTAGAAGGTAGAGCTACAAAGTCTTCAGTTGTGCCAGTTGTTCTGTTAGTTGTGTGGAGAGGAAGTCTTTATGTTCAAAACAGCAATGTTTTGAAAGTAATGGAAAACATTTGATTCTACCATAAATACTTGGTAATTTGAATTTTGAATCAAACTATAGACAAAGAAGGGGGAAGCTACTGGTTGGGTCTATTCTGGTCTCTGCAAAACTATGTAGATCCTCAGGAAAAGATGTTGTATCCCCTTTCTCCCTCCAGAATGCAGTCAGGCCTGTGTTAACTCAATAATTTTATAATTCAATAAACAAATTTGAACTTGCTGGTCAAAGAAATATGGGTTTCAAATATACTGGGCTAGATTCAATTCTCATATAAAGGTTTACTTAGAAATCCTCAAGAGTATGAGTTGAAAGGAGATTTTGGGCAGACAGTCTGCTGAAAAGACTTGTAGAAACAAAAAACTCACTGGAATTTGTATTTTTCTGTAATTTTCACATTAAAATTTTATTTCTGTTTCCATTTTCTTAAATGTGTTACTGTGGTTTATACTACCTATTGCCTGAAGCTTTTGATTGTCACTGTGGTTGGGAGGAGGAGAAATTGACCTTTTCTGTAACCCAGATGTCAGGCTTGTAACTATTTTACCTGTCAGTGAGTTACTAGGTGCCAAAGGATATTTTTACTACCTTTTTTTTCCTCTTGCGTGTGTACGTGGGTATTTTGTTCAGGTTTGTTTTTTTTTTAAAGGCAAAAAGCAGAAAACAGTGGGTTTAGTTTTTCAGGGTGTGGCTCTGTGACAAGTAAGAACCTGGTTAAGGGAGAACAGAGATTATGGTTTTTTTTTGGTATTGGACTTTCTCCAGATATGTTTTCTTTCTTCAAGACTAGAGTTCCTCTAAGATTAATTTATGGCCAGTTTTTCTGCCAAGGACATGAAGATAGAAAGCAAAGTATCCAAGGGAATTACCAGAGGGGATGAGAAGAGCTTTCTTATTATTGTAAGTAAGGGACAGACAGGATTAGGATTGTTATCGAAATACAAAGCAGGTAAACATAATTTGAACTGAAGGTTAGTTTTGGCACAGGAACAAATTGGTGCAGACTGCCCTACTGTTTTAAGATGGAGCTTGATAAGCTTATGGAAGGATTTAACAAGCTCAGTGTTTGCAACAATATTAGGTTGAATATTGTGTCCCAGTGTGGGGAATCGCATCCATCTTTTTGTAACAAAATGAGATAGCCGGGTTTTGTATGTCTTGTTTAGGGTCACCACAGAACTTGCAGAACTTGATATCTTAAGAATTGTTTTGTCAAATGTTGATCTTTATTCTAAATGCCTTTGCTTGTTTTTTGTGGTTTTGGTTTGTTTTTTTTCCTTCTCAAGGGCTTGGCTTATTTTAGATCAGTACAGAAAGAAGTCAAAGCTTTTCCGTACTAAAGTTCTGTTGGCTCCACTTGGGGATGACTTCCGCTACTCTGAGAGCTCAGAATGGGATCAACAGTACCAGAATTATCAGAAGCTATTTGATTATATGAATTCTCATCCTGAGTGGCATGTTAAGGTACATACAACACTTTCTCTAGTTTGTGGCGAAAACAGTATTTCTCAGTATTTTGAGATTCTTTATGGGAAAATGTTTTGGTGGTGTGTTTTTGTTAAGGTTTATTTATTTTAAGTGGTCAAGCTTCATGTATTATTTATAAGAGATTGGTTTGTCTTGGCAGATTACATTTTTTTACCTTTACTGCTTGCTCTCCCTCCAGAACACAATTTTCCTATTAGTAATATCTGCTTGAAAACTATAAATAGTATCCAAACTAGATTATTTTAGAAAACAGCTATTAGGTTTGATCATTTTCATGTGCTTCAGGCATTATTTAAGGCTCATAGGCTTTTTTTTTATTTAAAACTATTGTATTTTCTCATTAGAAGTTCAAGCAAATTTTGTTGCTTTGCTTGGGTCTTCTTGGTTTTATGTCTCAAACAAAAAAATCCTAAGAGGCAATATTGCTGGCACATGTTGTTGAATGCAATAAAATCTAAGAGCTTGACCTAGCCATAGAAGGAGCAAATATACTAACATGATTATCAGATGAATTTAGTGTGAGGTGTCCCCTGCCCATGGCAGGGGGGTTGGAACTTGATGAGCTTCAGGTCCTTTCCAGCCCAAACTATTCTATGATTGTATGATTCTGTGAAGTATCACTTTACATCATTAATGATGTTTGAGTGTTAATATGCACATTCATAAATTCTGATGTGTAAGATGAGTGCTTTAGAGACTTCTTGCACTGTAGATGGTCACTGTACTCAAACACCTTTTCATCATCTTTCAGCATGGGAATAAGAAATATGTAACCACAACCTTGTGTTATCTTGAGTATCACATGAGAGAGCACTATTGCAGCTTTCGCATTTAGGCTTTCTAAATATGTCTGGTCTCTTTCAGATATTGTGTGCATTTTTGCCTCTCACCTTTTCTAAAACCTTTCCTCATTCCTCTTACTACAGATTTGAGTAGTGACTGTAGTGTGTTTGTTCTTCCTGCTGACTTCTGGGCTTCTGTTCTGCATAAGAGAGATGATCTTTTGGAGTTGGAGCTTGTCTGAGAGCTGGATTTTCCGTCTGTTTCCTATGGGGTGTGGTAGACATGTTTATGAATGCCTGCTGTGTCTTAGTGGAGGGAGATAGACCTGGAGAGTATTTCTTCAAATCTAAAATCCATCTTTTAAATCTAAAGCTTGTGCTAACACAAAAAATGGATACAGTGTGCAGGTAGTTACTCTTTATATACTAATGCAGCATACTTCTGTAGTTTCCATTTCTGCTAACCAGGGCTAGATGATTCCTTCTCTGAGACAAAAACTGAAGGCTCCAGCTCTGAGGTTATTCAGGACCACTCCTGTCCTGAGGCATCTGAAGGATCCTTATCTGAAAGATTCTGCTCAGCCCATTATCAAATATTCTAGGAATCTACTTCCTTAGCCCTGGCTTGCCCACCAGGATTAACACCTTGGGAATCACACCAGCCCTTGAGGCCCTCTTACAAGTATTCAGCCCTTTTCTGGTTCTTGATACCCAGACAAGAATATATGCAATCCTCTGATTCAGCCCTTTCATACATAGGGTACTTTGCTTAGAGGGATCACTGTTGACGCTGGAGCATGTCTCCTTATCTGTGGACATATGAGGTTAGGTGGAGAATTTTCACATTCTGCTGCACCTTCCCCAGTGATTTGTAACTCCACAGGCGAGTAACCTAGATTATATAAAAGAAGAGTTCACATTTCTTCCTAAGTGCTGAGATGCATAGGATATTACTACTTACACAGGGGACTGCCTTCTTTGCCTGATCCTATGAGAAATTACCCTTTCGAACAAATTTCACTTGTTTATCTAGTGTGTTTACCTGTTAGCATTCACATGCCAGAAACTATTCTGTGTTCCTAAAAGTAGATTACTGTAAAAGATACCTGTTTTGCTTTCAGGGAGTTTAATCTCCTATTTGGAGATCTTCTTTACATCTATTATGCGTAAATTAAGGTGAGACTTTTTGTATGCCAGTAGAAGAGTCTATCAGGTTATTTCACAGTTTTCATTCACCTGACATTAGCATGAGTTTTCTTCAACTTTACTGGTTCCTCTGGTGAGTTTGTTCCTCTGATGTAACCCAGGATACAGAAGGGAGGCTGCCTATGCCTGATTTTTCTTGGTCCTTTGGTACTTTTGTTTTCCTTCTGAATACTGTCTTGTAGTTGTCTATAATAGTGAAGGAAAAATCCAATTGTCCAAAGACCTAAAAGTGCCTGATAAGGCAAGTATTACCAAGGTTGAGATTTCTGTGGCGGTATGTCTCTTTCTCTGCTTTACTGCCACAGTGGCAAGTTGTGCTGTTTCCACCTAACAGATACTTGGATGTTCTGAATGATTTTGAAGAGTGAATACTGTTTGGTTTGCTTTTTCAAATATTGAAATAGTGTGTCTTTGTTGCAGAGTAATAGTCCTTATGTTCCAAGTGATTTAAAAAAGATTTTAATAAAAGCTTATTTTCTGGTGTTGTAAATTGTGGCATGCTACTTTAAATGCTGCTTGTTAATATATATGTATATAAATGATTCAATTTTAACATTGAAGAAGTATCTTTATAGTTTATTATGAGAATATTTGTGGTAAAGTGATCTTCTGTGCTGTTCCCACATTCACTAATTATTTTTCCACTCTCTTTCAAAATCTGGTTTGCTGTGCCTGCCTTCTTTAACAGCATCTTGGTGCTGGCAACATTGACATCAGTCCCTCTCCCTTTTTATTTTCCTCCTTTTTTTGTACTCTTTAAGCTTGAGGTTATCACCTTTTTACCTACCCTGTTAAGGGCTTTTACTGCCTTATTTAGCTGAGAATTTTTAAAATTGACCAGCAGACAATGATTGTTTTGTACTCCCCCCATGTTACATCTCTAAACACAGTTTCTTTGTACAAAATTTAATCCCCCTCACCTCAGCTTCTTAAAGCAATTGCTAATTTTTTGATGAATAGTAATCTTGGATTAAGCATAGTTTGGAGATCTGGAGAACTACAGAGTTAATTTTGGAAAAGCAGGATTAATTCAGCTATGCACTTACTGCATTAAAGTAAGTTTTGTACTTAGTCCAGACATCTATTTACATAATATTGAGATATTACTTACCTTATGAGAGACTTACACATAAGACATGAAAGAATGCTTTTCTTATTTGTTGAGGTTCATTTGTATTTTAAATGCCACTGTGTATGTGTGTATATATATATATATAAGTATTTCATATTTCATGGGTCATAAAATAGTTTGGGTTGGAAGGGACCATGAAAAGTTCCTCTAGTTCCAACCCTCCTTGCCATGAGCAGAGACATCTTCAACTTGATCAGGCTGCTCAGAGCGTGGTACAGCGTGACCTTGAATGTTTCCAGGTATGGGGCATCTAGCATGTCTCTGATCAACCTGTTCCAGTGTTTCACCACCTTTGTTGTAAAACAAATATCTTCCTTATATCAGTCTACCCTCTTTTCATTTAAAACCATTGTCCCTTGTCCTATTGCTACAGGCCCTACTAAAATCCTGTCCTTACCTTTCCTATAAGCCCCCTTTAATATTGAAAGGCTGCAGTAAGGTCACTCCAGAGCATGTTCTTCTCCAGGCTGAACAATCCTAAGTGTCTCAGCCTTTCCTTCTCACAGGAGAGGTGTTCAATCCCTCTGATCATTTTTGATCGTTCGTGTGGATCCTGTCCGTGTCTGTCTTGCTGAAGTTGAAATGCTTTTGGAAGAGCTGTTCAGCTTATGTGAAAAATATTTAGGGAAGCTTTAAAGGTCTTTAGGATAGTTTCTGCTATGGCACGTTTCTGAAATGTATATGAAAACAAGCTTATTCATTCTCTTCATATGTCTAAATCAAGAAAATGGAACTATGTTATAGTGATCTTAATTTTTATTCAGGCCCAGTTTGGAACTTTATCAGATTACTTTGAAGCTCTGCGCAAAGAAAGCAGTTTGGGTGAAAAGAGCAGCAATTCATTTTTCCCTGTTTTAAGTGGCGACTTCTTCACCTATGCAGACAGAGATCATCATTATTGGAGTGGATACTTCACATCACGACCCTTCTATAAACGGCTGGATAGAGTCCTGGAATCCTACTTACGGTAAATACTGCCATAAGTAAATTCATAGCGTGTGTCTTGGAACATGGGAGAGATGAATGTATAAGTACTCTAAATATGCTGGACAGATGGAAAAGTGATTTATAAATGCACAGTTTAAGTTTACTTTTAATAAGAATAACCCCAGTGCCCCCCAGCTGTAGTTCTTGACACAAGAATTAATTTGTGTATCTGTTTTGTTTGGTTTTTTTGTTGTGGTTTTTTTTTAATAAATTCACAGAAATACAACAATATTTTTCTGCCCAAACAGATAAATTGTTCTAAAATACTATTCAAGGGATCAGCAAGTCCTCTTTCGATGAAAAATAGCAGGTAGTATGCTTTTATTTCTGTATCAGATTTGGGTAGCTGTCAGATCAGTCTGTCATTATGGCTACACTGTGAAATCTTAAAGGGAGAAATATGAAGGTGGAAATTTTACAAGGGTTGTTAGGGGCAATTAAGAAGTAGTCAGGAATATTGTGTGGCAAATGATCTCAGATTGTAAGGAACTGCTCTGCTGAAAAGTCTTTGCATCTTTGAAGAAATAAATTACTGCTAAATTTTGGTAATGAAGTAGTGGTTCTTGTAGCAGCTTCAGATGAGACGCTGTAAAACCATTTTACTGTATTTTAAGGCTCCAGAAAGAAATCTGGGACAGATGCCATATGATGTAAAGCCTAGATATTTCATCCATTGCCACAACTTTGTTTCCAAAACGTTGTTTTTCCTAGGATTCATAGTAGCAAAGACATGTTTTGTCTTCTGGAAGGACCCTTTAAAGTACACCTGTTGTAGTTCTTTCAGACCCTTTTCTATTCTATATTCATACTTTTTTTGTGCTAGAGAAGATCTTCTGCAGTGCCAAGAAATCCTTCCTTAAGGCATTGCATTGCCCAGGAAGGGGAAGTTTCACAAATGGGAAAGCAGGGAAGAAAGAAGCCAAAGACTGTCAGGAAGGAGAAGAAAAATAAGACCAAAGCTGAGAGGAATGACAAAACACAAGGCTAGGATCCCTTTGGCAGAAGAATGTAAAAATAATATAATGAGAAGTTGACAGTACTGCCTTCGGCAGTATTTTAAACAGAACTTTGGAATGTGTTTCCTTTATTGCCATTTTTCTGGAGTTTTTTTCTTATGTATGAAAAACGTGACTTTACTTACATTTGTAGTATTTACAACTTTAAACTGTTAAAAGATTTCTTCATATAAGAATTTCACTTTAACTTCTGATAAATGGGGCTGGACTTAGAGGTAAAGAATCGCTGGAAGAAAGCTAAAAACCTTCAATTATATGAATTAAACCAAAACAAAGCATGTTTCTAAAAATGTGCCTGGGAAGCTTTTAATCCTTCATGATCTACTATGAATAACATGTAAGAGAAAAAACTATAGGTGTGTTCTTGCTGGTTTTAATATAATATTTAGGGACAGTTTTGTTTTCATAGACTTGGAGAATCTTTAAAGATGGCATATTAGCTTTGAGAACAGCAGAGTTGAGAGTTTTGTCTTTCATTTTTTAAGTCAGAGGAAATACATTATGATCATCTTTAATAACACTTTTTCCCCAACCTCGGGATTAAATTTTCCACTTTTTTTTTTTTTTTTTTTAAGCTGACTTGTATCTATCTACTGTGTATATATAAGTGTATGTATATATATGCCAGAGAATGAAACATGAAAATGAGGTAAATATGTATGTGTGTATATTCTTTACCAAGAATAAATGCTTTTAAGTTCCAGCAGTATTGAGAGTAAGAAGTTCTTCATGGCTACTTAATAGCCAGGAAACACTCTTCAACCTCAGGACCTGCTATGATGGCTGGTCATTTAAGTAAAAAGAGTTGGTTGGTTGGATTTCTCCTGCTTTTAAAAAAGTTTTGGGGTTGTACATTAAAGAAAGTGCAAGAAAGCTTAAGGATTTTGTAGTAGAGATTAACATTATTGCTGACATAATAGATTTTTAATCTTAAGTGAGAGTTGGATGAATTGTAGTTTGAAGGGTGATGAACTCGATGACCAGAAGTTTGCTTAATGTAATAATTAAAGATGCAAAGAACAACAGCATATTTGGGGACAAGGTAGGAATGCATTTTGTGATTTCATTTTTTGCCAGTATATCAGGGAAAAGTATTGTAAATCAGCCAAAAAAAATGGTTGAAATAATTCATAAGTAGGACAAAAGCTACAGTGGCTGCAGTGATACTTCTGACTCTGCAGCTGGATAGAAAAGACCGTATCTTTAGAGTTAAGAAACTCTTGGTGGAAAAAAAAAAATTAATTCAGGTTGGATATAAAGTAGACCTAAAGGTAACCTAATGTAGGCTTTGAGCAATTATTGAAGGAAATTTCAGCCTATTTGCAGTGTCCTATTCAGTAGAAATACAGTAACAAATTAAAGTGATAACTACTTGAGGTATTCTGCAACAATTTGAAACAGAGGTGGAAAACAAACCAAGGCTATATACAGGTTTTATGGAAAGATACTGGAGAGAGAAAAATGCTTAGTTAGGGTTGAAGTGCTTCCTAACAAAATGTTTTTCTTTTTGGTTTCACAGCTGAGGATCTTTCATTGACCAGTGAATCGTTACAATGTTTAGAATAATATTGTAACTTGAAAAGAAAATTCTGCATCTAAGAGACTGATTTACTTACATGGATCTGTAAAACAGAATCAGTTATTTTTCTGAGTCAAAGAGTTCTAAGTGTTCCTTATAGACAAAGTGGGTTTAAAGTGAAGCAGTGTGAACTCAAAGTGTATTTACTATACAGCTTTGTTTTTATGTTATTTCTTTTGGGTTTAAGGTTTAAGGATTTTACATTGTTTGTAGATAATGGACTTCCTTTTTTTTTTTTTTTTTTTGAAAAGAGGTATTGACGTGGGTTGTAGGAGAAAAATCTAACCAGTAGTCTGGGGACTGAAATTTCTTGTTCTCTTTATAGCTGCAGTTAGGCTAGTGTTTTGCTGCTAGGTCAAATTTTTTAAAAAAGGTGTAACACTCTCAGGCTTTATTCACTAGATCAGTCTGATGCTTTTAACTGCAATATACTTGTTTTCCTTTCAAGTTCAGCTGTAATAGAACAAAGTGGGAGGAATGTGCTAAGAATTACACTAGGCCATGTCAAAGTCACAGCCATTAAGTACACTAGTAATAAAAAGAAGGAATTGCAACTTTTAACACCTTGATTTTTCTGTGTAGCTTCTGAGCAGTTATCTTACCTGTAAGAGCAAAATCTCATCCTATTCCTCAAATATTGGCAGTTTGAAAATGAATTGAGCAATTAATATGTGCAGTGAAATGTACATATGAAATGAATATGTACAGTGTACCATTTAGTTTGACATATGCCATTTACAGTTTTTATGTAATTATCACCTGTGTGATTGAAAAAGAAACTCAACTGAATCCAAAGGAGCTTCTCATGTTAACAGCTAATATAAATGCACAATCTGAAAACCGAAGTCAAGTATGGTTATAAAATTTGTTCCTGTACCTAGTTTTAAATTTGAACATGTGAGCCTCTGACAACATGGTGTAAAAGTTAATGTGTTTTGCTTTTTTTTTATATACATGCTTAGATGTTCATTTTATAATCGTTTCAAGAACATATGGTAATTTGCTTTCTTAGCTTTTTATAACATTAACTTATGTCTTCCTGGTTTCTTTGTATGCTTGAGAAACCTTCATTAAATTAATGAATCTGAGATTTTTTGGACTTACAAAAACTGAACTGTGATGTTTTAGAAAAATGAGATAAAAAAATTAACAGATGGTTTCCTAAAATTTCTACAAGTATCTTTGTTATTTAGATAGTCAAAATTCCTGGCAATTTTAACTGTTTTTTATTTATAAAATAAATTTGGATTGTCATAAAGCAAATGATAACCTAATGGTAATATTTTGGTGGTAGGCTTTTGCATAAGTAGTGGGAGAGGCTCTGCAATCCGTTTGGTCTACAGGTTTTTGAATCCTGTGTTCTCACTGTTCAGGTGAAGGTATAGTGAGAAGGTGTATGAACTGCCTAAGTCTTTAGGAGAATTTAGTTTGCTTAAAGTACAGATGGCAGAATACATATTATATAGAGTGTATAGATTAATATATTTCTTTAAAAGAATTATTTTTTTTTAAGTTGCTTTTTGAAATGGAAGTTGTCTCATGTAAGGCAGTCTATTGTTAATGTATCATTTTAAGGTCAGATCTATACACCTCACACATTTGTGAAAATTATATGTTACTCTGAAATATCATTTTTATTTTAAACCTGTATTTTTCATCACTGAAGCCTTGAAAGAAGCTTACAAGGTATAAAGCCAGTTGATGATGAAGCGTAGCAGTGATTTTAAACTGTTTGAAGCTAGAAACAGGCAAAAAAGTACATGATTAATGTTTAAAGAACTTTTGGAACTCGGCATGAGAAAATACCTAACAAACAAAAATCAGTTTATTATTCAGATAAAATGCATGTTGTTTTTTTTGCTTTTTAAATCTATATAAATATTTGATTCTTCTCTGCAATTCCAGGGCAGCTGAAATCCTCTACTCCTTGGCTTTGGTACAGTACAGTAAATATGAGAAAATGAGTGTATTTCCTTCAGTGGATAACTATAAATTGCTGACAGAAGCTAGGAGGAACCTTGGACTCTTTCAGCATCATGATGCTATTACAGGAACATCTAAAGATTGGGTAGTTGTGGATTATGGCACTAGGTAATTTATCATACATATGTAAAATTGAATCTTAACTTCCCTTTCTTTTATAAAAATAGCAGTATTTATTCCAGAAATGCAGTTTTGCTATAGCTAGCAACATGCTCAGTAATGCAAGTGCTGCTGTACAAAAGAAATTGATGTGATTACCTGTGTTCTTTGATCATGAAATATTTTTAATCCTCTGAATCAAAAATTTGATGTTCAAAAAAATTTCTGAGGTTTCAAAAGAAGCTAGGTAGACACAATACCAAGAGTTCTTTAATAACAGGACTATTATTTTATGCAGTAGCTGTTATATATTAGAACATTTTATATCTGCCTTGGCTAAGGCAATGATGAGAAGACAAGCTAATTTAAGTATATATTCCTTGGAAAATCCTACACTGATACCTAACTTCCTTCAGTGTGGGAAATCCTTTTCGTGGTGCTGATCTTCTACTTAATTTGTCTGTTGTTCATTGCTGTTATATCTGGTGGGTAGTTGTTTTCTGAGCATTGACAAATTATTGTGCTAGCTACTTTGTGGAATATCTTTGAAAACCAACATACATAAGTATGTATATATATGTGTGTACATAGATATATGCTTTAATTATGTGTTCAGAAAATTGGTACATATTGGGAAGTTAAGTACTAGTAAATTTGACTAATTGAGGTAGGTAATGGTGGATGGTTGATGGTAGAGCTTCTCCATTAGATACCTCTAAAATACTCTTTCTTGATTTAAACTACGGTATTCATTACAAGTATTTTTAAATTCCATAATTTTTTTAATATGGCTACATATAACCAAGGTATAAACATGTGCAATGCACTTGGTTATGAGAGAGTAAAATAAAGGCTCTATCACTTTACAAATAAAATGACACATCTCTGTATTTAAGAATTTGTAAACCTTATGTTGGTTGAAGCAATGGAAATAATGATAAATCTAATTTTTTATGTTTCTGATTGTTATTCTAAACTTGCTTAAAGGCAGTCCTTGTGCAGTGTTCCAGGTTTTTTTTTTCCCCTGGAACTATAGATACTGGAAATCAAACGTATAAACCACAAACTTTTGTAAGATTGGCATTTTGAAAAAGTACTTGGTATTTGAGAATATTCATTTTTTAGTGTAAAAGAGGGGTGGAGATGCACCTCATTTTTGGTATGCAAGGTAGGAATACAATGAAATTCAGAATATTTGTGTATTCTGCAATCTGGTTACCCACTGCAACTAGCTGTGCTTTATTTTATGCTATAATGACTTAAAATATTTTTCTGTAACTCAGTACTTTTGAGTTCACTAATCTTTTTAAACTTTGATGTTACCACATTAAATAAAAACAACCAAAAACTAACTAAGACTTTAAAATATTAACAGGCTTTTCCATTCAATAATGAACTTGAAGAAAGTGATAACTGACTCTGCTCATATTCTTATCCTAAAGGATAAAAGTGCTTATAATTATGACACATCAACTCCGTTCCTGAAGATGGTGAGCTATTTTTCTTATTTCCTCCAAACATGAAATGTGAACTATGTCTTTTCAGTACAGTTTGAATGGCCAAGGAAAAGTTAGAATAAAATTTGCTGCTAATACCTGCTCAGAAATCTGCTACTAATGAGTTTCATACTAATTGAAGTTATTGAAGGAAACTTCAGCAGTTAATACTGAAAACCCCCTGGACATCTAAATTGAATGGGGTTATTTTGTTCCACTTTGTGAATCACATACTAAACCCAGGTGTTCTGATTTTTTTGTTGGCATAGATTTGTTGGTGACTTCTGTGGCATGAATATGATAAGTGAATAGATAATAGCATCCTGTAATTTGACTTTACTTATTGCTTACAAATGGAGGATGAGGAAAATTTCTATCCTGACCATAAGCCTATGATGAATTTGCAAGACGAGGTCTAGACAAGACCTTGTGTTTTTTTATCTTAGCTGAAATCATTTAAAGGAGAAATGTACCAATGGTAGTTGGCAACAGATGCTTCCGTAACAGTTTGAGACCCATTTTACAGTGAAGAGCACCTTGAAGAAACACACTTGCTAATATTGTTTCCTTTCAAAATTCTTAGTTTTTTCACAATAGCTCCCTGTTGAGTTAGCTAAGTAGTCTTGGGAATCCTACTGAACTCCATACACCTGGAATAGAGAGAAAATGAGATACTTTCTTTGTGCATAAACATGGAAGTATCAAGGCAGGTTTTTTTATATGATTATCTCAGACTTCTGACATAACTTGCATGACATTTATTCTGCTGGCTTAAATATGCCAGATATGTTAAACCTTGAATTACTATTCCAGTCATGTATATTAAAAAAAAAGTCATGTATATTAAAAGTCATGTATATTAGAAAAAACAGGCAAAAACCCTACAAACAAAACCCTCACCCCCCCCCCCCCAAAAACTCAGAACAGCACAACCCCTTTTCACCCCCCCCCCCCATTTTTCAGAGGTTTTATGTCCTTGATCCTAATGTACACACGTATGTGCTGCATAAATGTGCCTATGGGTGTGTGCTATATGGGTGTGCCATGAGTATGTAATTTTTATCCTGGCTGGATAAAAATGAATGTGCTAACAAAATGAATATGCACCTTCCTAAAGTAAGAATATTTTGAAGTTGTTCTGAATTATATAGGAAAATGTTGTGATGTTACATTTTGCTGAACTTTCATTGTTCCTGTTCTTCATGAGATTAATGCCACTGAATTATATAAGTACCAGTTGCTGGTTAAACTGTAAATTGTCTAGGAACATACTAAGTCAAACCCATTATTACCACTGTGAAAGCAGAAATAAAAAAGAAAATTCTTTTTTCAATGAATTTTTTACTTACATGAAGCAGGGAAAAAAAGGGTGATAACAAAAGTAGATTATGATTTATCTGTGTGATATACAGTGACTGCAGCATGTCATCAATCTAATATTCCCTCAGTACTTTGGTTATGACACAAAATGTTTTTTATATGTGATTTGTAGAATGCTGATAGGAGAACTTCAGGATGTTTACAAAAAACCTTTTGCAAACCATGAGCAAGTAGAAAGTTCAAAGGCACTTGTTTTGAAATATCATTGTGGTATGTTTGTGGCTGATGGAAGCTGACATCAAGAGTTGCTTGGAGATGGGCATTTGGAATGAATGCCAAGGATTTTGAGAAAGAGAAATGCAGAACACTTAAGATTGAAAATGGCTGTTGTCTTAGGGGGTGTAGAAGAAAAAAACATGTAGTCAGAAGAGTAGAGCCAGACTGTAGCAGCATTCCAGTAGATAGCAGGTAAAACCAAGAGAATATTTAATATTTCCCTTCTTCAAGCCAGAAAAAAGGAAGGTGGAAATGAGACATGATTGAAAGATTCCAGAATGAGACTGCTTGCGTTACACACAAAAGCATCATGTTTTCCTGAGCTGATAAGTGAATGCTTTGTACATCATGTATAAGTTTTACAGACTCTACATTAGTAAACAAACAAAAACTAGATTGTTTGGAAGACAGTGTACTCAAAAATAGAATAAACTTAGATATCCCTGAATGATCCAGCCAATAAGATGAGATCCAACCTATAAAAGTAAAGCTATTTAACCATTGCACCATTCCTTATTTCTTTGTGTGCAGAAAAAAATCTTTAATGTAAGTGGCAATACTTGGATTGAGAAACATGTTTTTAAGCATGTTTTTGAGTATTCTGAGGAACTGGGAGCTTTATACTTCAGTTGCAAAGTCTATGGTTGTCACCATTATATGAACCAATAAGAATATAACAGTACATTATCAGCTTGGCTGTTCTCTTATATAAAGACTAATGCAGTAGTGACAGCAATAGTCACTACCTTTTCTCACTTGAAGTGAACACTGCGTCATACTGTATTTAAGAAAAGAGAAAGGTAAGAAACTAGTGAAATGTAAGAATTCATCAGTATTATGAAACAATTCTTTAAGTAGTTAATACCCCATAAAAATTGTACACACATTATAATTCATGGTTTTGGAAAATTTTCTTCTACCGTATAAGGTAACTATGAGATCTGACAAAAAACTGAACTCTAAATCCTTGTAATGAATATATAGGAGTCTGGAGTTTCACAGAGTAACTTTATAGTAAGGGAAAGCTAATAAAAATATGAGAAGTATTTGCAAAATTTGAAGGAAGTTAGCAATTATCATGTATGCAAAATTAAAACATGGGGATGATGATTTGATACTGGTGTCAAATAAGAGACATTAATAAAAGCAGATCTTTCTCAAGGAATTGGTTAAATTAAGCCTTTTATTTTGTCAGTCTGAAGTACTTCATAAACTTTTGTGGTCGTCCTATGTTAAGTGCTAAAATAGGTCTTAATTTATGGTATGGTTTATGGTCAGGCTGTCATGGTTTTGTACATCATAAAGGTGATATAATAGACAAAGCTCATATATGTTTAAATGTATTCAAAATCAAATTCAATGTTCTCTTGTAGGATGACATTCAGTCTGGCCAAGATTCTTTGCCACACAAGACAGTTATAAAGCTGACATCGGAACCAAGGTAAAAAAAATTATATTTTACTTAGTGTCTGAGATTCTTTTAGTAGTGTGTGACTTTACTACCTAGTAGGTTTTTTATGTCACTTAATTTTAATATCACTTTTTTTTTTTTTAACTTTTTTTAACATCCCTGTATTATTCAGAATATAGATAAAATTTAAAAAAAAAGGAAAAAAAAGGTGAAAATGTAGTTTGGCATATTCTGCTAATACTATTATGTCCAGTTGAAATAGGACACGGCACTTTACAGAAGTTTGTCACCACTAATTCAGCTGCAGCAAGTAAAATGGGCTGTTTACTGTGTGCTTTTGAAGCATTGTAATGCTTAATAAATCATGCTTGAGAGCAGCAGTACAAAATTCTAACTAAAATAGTCACATGTGGCTCAATACTGTGAGCAAAGCCTTAGTTTTTGTAAGACCTAAAAATTGCAATATATAAATGCTGGATTTTCTTTAAAATTAAGGTAGCAGATAAACCAGGACTCTGTTTTCTGAACTCGAACTTTCTATTACATTAAGAGGTCTTACTTCTTTGTTCGTAGTTCGTGAGTATTCAGTTTAAACCGACATTCTATCATGTGTAGTGTCCAACCTGAAATAACTTGAAAATTCATTAAAAGTCAACTAGTCCGAATCAAGTGAGTAAGATGTATGGATATGAGAGCTGCTGTGTGTGTAAATTAAGTAATTTGAGTTGTTTTGCTTACAGACCAGAAGACTTAAGATTCATTTAAAAAGTGAATGCTATTTTTGCTGATGTTAGTATTTAATTTCTCTAGCTCTAGCTTGTGCCAAGCTAATAAAACTTACTTGCCTAATTCATGAAGGTGTCGGACTATTTAGCACAGTTAACTTCTACTGTTAAAAAATTATAAATAGATTCTTTGGAAAAATATGCAAAACTTAATCCTTGTTAGCTTTTGGGGGGAAAGCTGTCTTCAGTCCTCTAAATTTAAATGAATATAATATGTTGTGTACATTTAGTATTAATAATGCTTTTCCCTAGAGCAGTTATGCAGACCTGCATACTATTTATTTATTTATTTATTTATCTATTTATTTATTTATTTAAATAGGATTTTTTTCTCTTATTGGAGTTCTAGATTAATAGATTATGTTAAAGTTGTTCAAGGTGACTTGCTATGTATTTAAATAATGTCTTTTAACATTTTCAAAATATCCCTTCAGATTTCTCCACTGGGAGAGGATTGTATATGAATATTTGGCTGAAGGCTAGTTTTCAAGTAGACCTTCCTTGCCATTGGAGAATGGCTTTAAGTTTTTTGCTTTCCTTGCCTAAGTTAGCTGTTGAAATTTTCCCCATATGCTTTCCATCCCCTGATATGACTTTCGTTTTCATCCACTGTTCCTCTTATCTCTCTGCCTAGAATGCTAAGTAAGTTTTTTCATTTTTGGTGTTCATGCACTTCAGGCATTTGCTTGGTTTTCTCTTTCCTCTAAGTCATATATAAAGTACATACACATGTCAAGCATTTTTATTTTAAAATTATTCTAGTAGCCTTTTTCTGCTATTATCTAATCTTACTAAGACGATAACATTGGTAGATAATTGCTAATTTTAACCTGCCTGGTACTGTAAAGATTTATGGGAGATAGAATAAAGAGCAAAAAATGTGTGAGGCAGAAGGGGAAGAGAAAGATTACAAGGGAATATTGATATTGCTGCCTGAAAATATGGTGGTCTTATTTTTTGTAATGACTTACTGTTGTAAACACTTCCAAAATGATGCTTAAATGCACAGTAATTCATGTTTCCTTTGTAAAATTTTCATTTCAGTATCTGTCCAATTATTTTCTCTGATAAAAATGAGCTTACTGTTTCTAGGCTTCTAAGTTTATCTCTTCTTGTAGTCTGAATATGTCCACTAACATGATTACCATTGTGAAAAGTGGTGTGTAAGCTGAGTCAGTAACTTTGGCTTAAATCTAGTGTGTGAATGTTATAACTGTGCATCTGAACTTTTTAGTAGCCAGTAAAGATGTGAAATGTTAATTTCAGTAGAATATTAAACTCGATACATTTTTCATTAAGGATTAAAGTTCAAAGTTTTAAGTTCTAACACAGAAACTGATTTTTCATTTCAAATTTTAACGCATCAATACTGTGAAAATACTCATTCTTTCCAGAACTTTATTATTTGGTTATCATCTATTCATAATTATCTGTATTGTTCATGTCTGTAGCATGAAATCTTTAGGTTTCTTTCTGTTAATGTATTCTAATATATCATTATGTGGGATAGAAATTAAGTTAATGTAACTGACAAGGTGTTACTTTAATTGGCTGAATATTTAGCCTTTTGTAGTTTTGCATTTCCATGTTGTGATTTTGAAACAAACCAAAAAAAAAAAAACCACAATAAAACAAACAGCTATATTATCAATTGACTATTCTTGTAAAAGTTTGGTTCATATCACCTATAATTTTAGAGGAGAGCTACTGATGAGAAGCTCATAAGATAATGCCTTTTTTAGTATTTTCAGTCAATTTTCCTATTATTTCTTATTTTGCTGAGTTGATACTATCGATTTCAAATCTGACCTGCTTTTTAACAGGAAAGTAGTTGGTAGTATGCTTTTTGCTCTCTCATCCAACCTTTGTTTCTGATGTTTTTTAGTTAGGTGCTCTGCTTGTGAATATCTTGGTCAGTGTGAAAACTGAAACTAACAGCCTGTGCAGGAAAGCTAGTACAACTTGATTACATGGGGGAAAAAAAGAAAAGAAGGAAAAAGTCTTTCAGCAGTCATTGTTCTAGTGTGAAGTAGCTCCAGATTACATAGATAAGAAGTATCTTTCAAACTGCTCCTAAGTAGGTGTCGCTGTTAATATATTTGATACTGTTTCTGGCCCCCCACTTATGCACCTCTTCTCTGTAGGGCTCTGATAACATCTTTTAGTAATCTGTAGTTGAAAAAAAAGAACAAAGTGTTAATTCCAGGGAAATAGGAATTTAGAGTATTTAGTGTCTTACTCTGACTTCGAATCTAAGTGGTCTTCCAAGTCAGGCTTTGGAGTGTTAAAGTTATGGTGTCTTAAATTACATACAACCCCTTTAACTGATAATGAATTTGCATGCCTTTTTTAAAAAAAAAATGCTACTTCCATCTGAGAACCAAAGCTTTCACAAGATGATATTCAAACAGATAAGGAACTACTTTTGTTGTCTTCTGAAATTAACAGTTACTAAAGTGTGTATTGGAGACAAAGCCTGTGAGTTTGCTGTTAAGTTGAATGCTGCATCATACTTCTATGACAGATGTGTCCTTTGATATGATCATTGCTTCTTGGGAATAATCAGTCAGAGGTCATACTTCCCAAATGGCAAAAGATTTGCACCCACTGGACTTTGGGGAGAGAGGCATGGTGAAGAGGGAAGGGTGTGGGTTTGAACCTCTTGCTGTCCAGGTTAAGCTGCTGGCTATTGATAAAGGGTATGTTGATAAAGGGCATGATGAAGAGCGAAGGGTGTGGGTTTGAACCTCTTGCTGTCCAGGTTAAGCTGCTGGCTGTTGATAAAGGGTATGTTGACAGTGTGAGGGGCAAGATTTCCTAGCTATTTCTGTCGACAGTGTTCCTGGAAACAGCATTGCAGGGGAATGTGATACATGACAAAACAGCTGAATTGGCTGTCTGTACAAATTGGATTTTGTAGTAGTATTTTTTAGCATAACATGGTGAACTTAGGACCAAATGAGATCTGAGTATCAGTGAGGCTTCCTCCCCTCCCCCCCTTTTTTTTTTTTTTTTTCTGAACCTGGCTGGGCAGTTTCAGTACTGTGCTCCATTGCTCAGCCTTTACAAGCCTGATGTAAGACATAACATCTGAACTGAAGATACTGTGATATTGAAAGATTTTTAAGTATCATCGATTTAGGATTTTATTTAGTGCTAAACCAACAATACTTATAATTTACCCACAGATTACTTTTGTCATACAGGAATAGTATAATACCCTACTTACCAGGCTAATTTACTAGCTTAGCAGACGCATTTTTCAGAAGTTGAAATATTCAGGTTACCTGGGGGATTAATTCTGAGTAGGATACACAGTAATCAATGATTTCTTCAAAGATCTGTTGAAGCATTAAGCAGTTTAGGGACATCTACCTTATAAAAGAACATTTTATTTTTCCAGATAGAGGATACAGAATTATCTGTGCTGTTATCCTTACTTCAGTATCTCTGAGCAGGTTTTGGCATAAGGTTGTGATTAACAGAGTTGTGGCATAAGATATGTTCACCCTGTTAGGTCCAAAATTTGTAATCTTTTTTTGAGAAATGAAATTATGATTTAAGATATTGCATGTTGGTTACCTTCTCAAAAATTCCATTGGCAGGTATACCCACTGCTTTCGCAACACAGCACTATAGTGTAGATATTACAGCTATGTTATTAAGTTTAATGTGCAATAAAGAATAGTGAGCAAAGGTGAAAATTCTTGGCAGAGCAGTGTACGTTACTGTATTTGGTTGGAAGTTGAGAGCCAGGATAACTTGCCTAAGAAAGAAACTTTGTTAGTATGATATGCCAAAAGGGAAAGCTAATATGATGTGAAGCAGAAGAATAAAGCTTCACATCAAAGGAACTGTGCCTTTCTGATCTTAGAAAGTGGCTGGATTTGGGGTATTGTTTTAAGATTCCCATTTGGCAACTTCAAAATTGGTGGTGGTTATTTAGCTGGTTTTTTTGACCTGTGTTGCCTGTGTTGGTGCAATCAATGTAAACGATTGTTCTCTCCTTTGGTTAGAAGGGGAGGATGCTCTGAAAGCATTTGATATTTTAGTAATACGCATTTTAATTACCTTTGTGTTTCTTGATTTCTGAGGCATATGCATTTCTTGTTGTATACTGAAACAGTTTTTAAAACAGGCAGTTGAAACAAAGGTATTTTCAAGTGTCAATGAGGGGAAAAAGGCTTAAAGAAAACAAGGAACAGAGTAACATTTAAAATGAGACCAAAAATACTTGCTGCAGTT